TGCATTCATCGAGGAGATTGGCGACGAGGAGGACTTCGTTGGAACGCTAATTCTCCGCAAGTCTTCGACCGCCAAGGCTCCATCAATTTCACAACAGCTCTCTGGCCCTGAGTTCCTCATTGGTATACCTACTCCCTGTGATCGTAACCCCCAAGTCGTCTGGGACCTTCTTCGTTCCTCCCTTCGATCCTCAGTACCTCGTTATCTCATCGCCGTCGCGACTTCAAGAGAGTGGTGTGCCAACGTGGACCGTGAGGCATGTCCCGCCTCCCTTGTGGACGTTGTGAAGGAGGTCAATACGGCCAAGGAGTTCGCAGACGAGAAAGATGTTATGTCCATCGAAGATACGTCCAAGACCTTGATCATCGAGGAGGACGCGGCATCGAAGGCTTCCGTGGAGGACAAAATGGAGGACTTGGCTCCTCTGTACGAAGAAATTGACCCGGAGAGCGCCCCGTCATATGAAGAGTTCGCGGCCAACGCCCCTTCGGAACCGCTATTCGAAAACAAGGGTCACACGTCCTTGGATTTCGGTTCGTGTCCCTTTGTTTCTTTTACATGTGCATCTTTCTTACAGTCTTCATTCCCGCAGCTGTCAACCGGCCCCCCTCCTTGGACGTTCTCGTCGCACGCCTTGGCGCCAAAGCCCGCCCCTCTCCTGCCCGGGCTGCGCGGTTAACATTCCTCGGCCGTCTCTCCCCTCGCTTGAACAACGTCTGCCCCATCGTCAGGCAACCCGTTTCTCCGGTATGTTGGGCTATACGTCATCGACCAGCGCAAGCCCCCCGCCCTCCAAATCCCAAGACTCCCCTACCGCTTCTTCGTCTGCCCGCGCCGCTTTAGCGACTAACAAATAAAACAACCACGAGAGAAGCGGATGGACCGATGACGAGACTTGCCGTTGGATCGGGGACGCCTGGCCCTTCGACATACCTTGCCATCGCATCGCAGCCGCACACGGCACCGCAAGAGGTTACGGTGGACGCACTGTGTACTTTCTTGCTGATGTTGTCTGCCGCTCCAATTGTCTCGTGGTTTGGTGTTATGTTGGTCGGTATTCAATACGGGTAGATGAAGACGTGGGAATGGGCACAGTCTACGACTGGATGTTCAAGTCGGGTAGGGCTTTGGATGATTGGTCTTGTATTGGTATATGATAATTTTTTTTCCCATGCAATATAAGGCATTGTTTTAGCTTCTCTCCAAACAGGACGCTCTAAGAAAAGGGGGAACACTGCGAATGTAGTTCATAAATAAAAATACAAAAACTGATCCGACTCAGGTTCGAACTGAGGACCGCCTGTGAAATCACGCCCAGCCGTCCTCATCGTGATCGCGTGCTGCAGTAAGGGATCAGTACTCCCAGTGAAAAAGCCGTCTTGGGATATCTTGGGGAACCTTGACATATCCTGTGATATCTTGCTTTCTCAAAATCACATCTTGAATTATCTTGACCCCTCTCAAAAATATTAACATCTCGGCGTACTCGGCCTTTTCCGCGTCATACAAACGACGAATCGTTTCCAAGTCCGTTGTGTCGACTTGTTTACCTGGACCTTGCTGCTCGCCACGTCATCCGTCCTCTGCATCCTCTCTGCTCTCGACCCGATACGCTCATGACGGCCTCCAAACTGCCTAACATCATAATACACATCTCTCTCTCTGGCTTGCTTCCTTTATCGCTTCTTATCGGGCCAAATCCGACGCAGATCTTTGAGATCAATCATCCGCAAATGCTTCTCAATCTGGACATTAGCTCGCGCTCCGGGATTCATATACTGCTGGGACTACTTCCGTCGAGCTCTTAGTGTGGAGTGGATAGCAGAAGCCGCATTTCACTGGGAATTCTCATAAACAATCCTCGGGACATCAAACATTCATCGGCAGGACATTGGAATACGCGTCTACGGCCAATTGATGCAGATTCACGCGTCATATCGCTGTTAGGCCCCAGCGCACTTGTCTGCGAGTATTTCTTGAGCTGCAGTGCTTGTACGCTCAGTTTTCCTTTTATGTAAGCACTACAGGATTTGTGCGCCTTCTGGACACCACGGTCTTGCACACCCTGAAAAGTTCGTCTCTCCCTCTCCTGCCCGTGCCATCTACTTACTTTCAAGTTTATTCTTTTGCAAAATTTGGCACCTACGGTAAGTCGTTCATGTATATTGTTCGAAATCATTGCACTGATGGACTCTGGCCAAGCACGCCGATGCGCTGTAGCGCGAGCTCGGCGCCGGCATATGGGGGTTGTTCCTCAGCAACGCAGTGAGCATGTGCAAGCAAAGGGGTGCGCGAATGGAAACGGGCGAATGTCCCACCGCCGACCTTCTCGACGCATAGGATATCCGTACCGTGCCGACGCGCGCGGGTCTGCGTCTACTGCATCGGGAACCACGACAACGCGGTGCTCAGCGGTGCCATCGGGACTGCGAGCGCGCTCAGCCGCGTCATCGCGCACCAGGAAACCATCGCGGCGCCCGCTGCGTTTACTCCGGCGGTCGCACAATTTGTGCACTGCGCCCGCCGCCCGCGGGCACGAGCACGGCCGGGCTTGGAGGGTGGGCCAGCAACGTGTACAGCGTGGCGAATGCGGATAGATATTTGCCATATGTACTAACGTCGGTGAGTATCCCATATTCGGCGTACATGGTGTGATGTGTATTCACAACATCATCGTAGATTCGAAGTGGCGTCAGTCTAGTGCCGCAAGGTTTGCTCATTCGTCTCCTTCTTTGGGCGTTTCTAACCTGTTTCTCACAAAGGTGGCCGTATTTCGGGTGGTAGGTATGTGGTTAATCTTCTGTCCCGAGGACTGGCAGGTCTTGACTTACGCAATTTACAGCATTACCCATGCTCCGAACAGAGCTGACGCCGCCCGCTCGCCAGGTAGGTGGCGGCGGCGGCATAGTGTTCGTGCGCATACGCGCTCAAACTCGTTGTCGTCGACTAGCACTGGCACGCGCGTGCTCGAACTCGACGTCATCAACAAGAAAGCTCGCAGGGGCGGGGCAAAGTCTCGTGAGTAAGGGCCAGCGGAATCGCGTGGAGCGATGTGTTCTCGCAGCAGCAGCTGGGGCGCGAGCGGACGGCGGACGAATGCGTGGGTGGGCGGAGGGACCGCGAATCAGGCGGCGCAGGCGGTAGCGCGGGGCACGTAGGGCATGGGTACGGACGCGCCGCGGCGTGCCCCGGTTTCGGTGGCCACCACGACCCCTAGCGCGTCGATGTTGGATCTAGGGGACGTTGGGTGCTATTTGCGAGGCCGTTGGGTCGTAGCGTGCCCGTGGCGAGGCCGAGGGAAGCGCGGGTGCGTACGGTATGGACGGTATGCGGTAGCAGAAAAAATGAATATAAAATGATTTTAAAATAAAATTCACGATGAGTCAAGATATCCCTTGGAAAAGTGCCAAAATCCTGATGCCTGGTGTTGGGATATCTTGGATCCTGATAATTCTCGATAGGGCAAGATTTCCCAAGATATGCCAAGATTTCCCAAGACGGCTTTTTCGCTGGGGATCAGTCCTAGCAATCTATCCGTATGTCCATTCTCGTGGCTTGTTACATTATTCAATGCATACCATACACGTTAGTTGAGATTGCTCCATTGGTATATTGGTTCCCACTCTAAAAGCCCTTGCCGTAGCCGCCTGTCTCGTAGAAGGACTCCAGACGTGCAACAATCGAGGAGAGGGCCTCGAGCCACTTGTTCAGCTCCTCGTTGAGCTTCTCGTCCGACGCGGGTGGGCCGCCAGCCGGGTCCGCGGCGAGCTTCGCGTAAAAGTCTGCGCGGTACGGGCATGCCTTCATCGCCACCTGTAGCTCGTCAGCAAAGATGATCGCTCGTTGCGCTCCCGACGCCAAACTCACCGAGAATATGCGCTTGACGACAAAGTTGTGGAACTTCTTGAGGGTCACCTCGTAGGACTTGTTAAACGCGACAGCGAGCTCCTCCGACTTGTTCGCTTGAGCGTTTTGGAGGGCCTTGCAGGTGAAGGAGAGGCCGCGGAGGAGCCACATGAGGCCCTCGGTTGCCGTGCGTTTCTTCTCCCCTTTCTCGTTCTCTACGAGTTTCTCAAGAGTGCCAGAGAGTGCTGGGGCGGCATCGTAGCGCGTGCGGACTTTCTGTGATGTAATTCATCAGAACACCTACTACAGGCAAAGCAAAATCGAACTAGTTAGACGCACGGTGATGTTGCCTTAGAGATCGTTCTGTACGACCGAGAACGCGGCGGATCCGAGGATGTCTTGGGGATGGTTAGACTTGATCTCGAGGAAAGGGAATATTATTTACCGAACAGTCCAACCAGCCCTGTTGCCGCTTCGAGAAATTGGAGAGTGTCGACGCCAGCGTCGGTGATTTCGACGTCAGCAAACGACTAGAGGCACTTAATTTCTGGGAAGCAAAAGAGAGCTCGGGACTTGCTTTTACAGTCTCGAGGTAGGGGGCCATGGTCTTGACACGAAGACAAGTGCAACGCGGGGCGGTGATTGATGTTACTGTCTGATGGCCTTCATTTAAAATCGTCTGCAGTCCCATATTCCACTGGTTGAGCTGGCGAAGGTGATGAAGCTGCAGTAGAGAGAGCGATGGAGTAGCCACCGACAGCGCCGCACATAGCCGTGGCAAGAAGGACCGCAAGAACGCCCAAGTTTTGACGAGGGCTGAGAAACACCTTCGGGATGCGGTATTTGGGAAGGCCCTTATGCTTCAATCCGCGAGACAGAAAATGAGGAATGACAGCGATCCTTGGCGCTTGCAGCTGAGGAACTCGCCGAAGAGTCCAAGGGAGCCGAGAAGACAACATGAAAGGAAACAACCGTATGTGTCATGATTCTGCAACGTATGCATCAACCGGCACGACTTGTACATTGGTCTTGAATCGTCTCACAAGTTGCCTGGGTGTTTGAAACAGGAGCGTAAAAGACGTAGGTCTAATCGGAGAAGCGGAACATGGACTATAAAGCGAATGAAGTGACGCTGAAATGAGAAAACCAAAAAGTGATCCGACCCAGGTTCGAACTGAGGACCGCCTGTGTTAACATCGGTTACTTAAGAAAGCAGCGATCTGTTAGACAGAAGTGATAACCAACTACACCATCGGACCAATGCGAAGACCTTTCAGCCGTAGTAGTATTAGGCTTTGGGGCTTGGAGACGTGTTTTGTCAGGACCAACCGAATTTCGACCATGGGAGCTGCCCTTTCCAAACAATGGTTCATCCCGACGACCGTACCGCTAGCTCAGCGGCAAGCGCAGCTGGAGACAGAAACCCCAACCACCGAAGCCGAGGGTTCCCCAAGTTTCAATTCCGTGGGGATGACTACCAGTGTTAACCCCATTCCCGCCCACCTTCGCGGCCGATGCCTCTACGGTTACGGCGCCGTGACACCATCACGGATGACTCGGAGCTCATGGAGGCCGTGTGCTGGAAGCGGTGCTATCTGCTGGTTGGTGGGCGGCTCTGGTCGACGTCTGAGAGCTGGATGTACGTACGGTATTAGCAGTGCATCGGTCAAGCCTTGTCCCAAGTAGTTCTGGGCTCAACTTCAAGAGGGAGTTAAAAACTCTTCAAATTAAGAGTCCTAATTTTATCGATATCTGAATAATTGCGGTTGTCATGCTGCGCCAACGCGACGCGACGCGTCTCCTAATATTATCATCACGTGGTCAAGTGATGGCGATTGATCGATCGAATTCCTAATTCGGCACAAGCACTCCTGCCTCTTACCGCAATGCAGTCCATACAGGTAAATGCTCCTTAAAGCTGCCCGTTCTTGCCTCACCTCCATTACAGAGAAATTATCTCAACTTTATGACCTATCTGACTCCTGTAAGACACTACTCCACCCCCGATCATCAAGCTCATTATCGGTCGCCCCATAGGTGCTTAGGGAGAGCAAGTTCAAAGAGCACGGCCGTATTACCCCTGGTGCGTCGGGATTGGCCTCGTATACCCATTTACTTCAACTCTGCACACAGAGGAGTTCGTAGCGGCAGGCGACTTCCTCACCTACAAGTTCGGAGTATGGACTTGGTCAGTGGCAACTCGTCTGTCGTATGAACCACAAGTGACTCATGCTAGCACACACTAGGGAAGCGGGCGATCCATCCAAGGCTAAAGACTACCTTCCTGCTGACAAGCAATACCTTGTTACACGAGGTGTTCCTTGCCTCCGTCGAGCGACCTCTCTCGCGTACACGGACGCCGACGAGGATGGTGAACGACTACTATCGTTTGGTGACTCTACAGGGGCCGACGAGTGGGTCGAGACTCATGCGGGTCGCAAGGCCAACTTGGATTCTGCCAATCCGGGTCAGATTGACGACATTCCCGACCTAGACGCGGCACACGAAGACTCGGTAACACAAGGTGTCGGCGCGCTCTCTTTAGGTGGTGCCGCCGAGACGCCCGATCTAGACGATATTCCTGATATGGAAGAAGAAGGTCTGGAGGAGGAAGAGGATGCAGCCACTGCGCCAAAAGTGACCCCCGGCGTTATTGATGCCAGGTCGGTCCACTTCATCCACCCACCAACACATTCTAAGCAGGTTTTCACAGTCAAATCGAAGTTCCCAGCGGCAATCTTCTTCAAGTGCGAACTTACGATGTCATGATAACTTGGGACAAGTTGTACCAGACTCCTCGCATTTGGCTGATTGGCTACGATGAGGTCAGATATCGTTTGTAAGGGTTTCTTGCATTACTAATTCGCTCATTTAGAATCGTAACCCTTTGACGCCGCCGCAAATCTTCCAAGACGTGTCGGCCGACCATGCTTTCAAGACTGTTACGATTGAAGCTTTCCCTCACTCTTCGTCGCTGCAGGCGGCATCCGTCCACCCCTGCAAACACGCAAGTGTGATGAAGAAGGTGATCGAACGCATGAACAACAGTGTGGTCGAGGAACAGCTTGCGCAGCGCCAGTCGACGGTCAAGGACGGCAGTAAGAAGAAGTGGTTTAGCCGCAAGAACAGCGGCAACGGAAAGGACGATAAGGGCGCTGAAGAGGAGGAAGTCGAAGGCATGCGGGTCGACTTTTACCTCGTCGTGTTCCTCAAGTTTATCGCATCGATCGTGCCGACCATCGAGGTCGACTCGACGACGTCTTTCTGATTACACGGGCGTGGATTATACCCAATTACAACGAGGCAATGTATCTGTACGAAGACTGATTTACTTAGAACATGCTGTGTCGCTGCTTTTCTTCCCGCACAGAGCAAAAACGATCAGCAAAAAGATGAACAAAATCAAGTAGCGACCTCTGTTGACTTGGACTTTTTATCCTTCTTCTCTTTCCGCATCTTCTCAGCAGGCGCGTCTACTGTCGGCGAATCGACCGAATCCACATCCCCCTTCCCCCTCCCCTTCTTGTCTTTTTTCCGTTTCTTCTCTGCTGGCTCGTCGACAGGTATCGACGGTGGTACGTCAATATCCGTCACTTTGGCCTCTCCGTCGCTACCCTTCTTATCCTTCTTCCGCTTCTTTTCCGGGGAAGGAGCTGCATCGACCTCCATCATCGGGACGGATGTCGTAGAGTCTTCAGCTGGTGTTTTCTTGTCCTTCTTCCGTTTCTTCTCCGGTGTCGAGTCGACGTCCATGGGCTGCCCAGATACTTCGCTGTCGCGTTTCCGTTTCTTGGGCTTTTCAGTCGACCCGTCCGACGTCGTGGGCTCGGATAATGTGGCCCCGCTCACGCTGGCAAGCCTTTCGGCGTGCTTCTGAGCCTTTTTCAGCTCCGCAGCCTCTCGCCGCAGCTCCTTCCGGGTCTTCCCGGAAGGTGCTGCAGTATCGCTCGACCCTGCGGACGGCGCAGACGCAGACACAGACGCCTAACATGGTATTGAGTGATGGGAATTCCATGATAAGACAACGTTACCGGCGCCTCTGCAGTCGCAGCCTTTTTCTTCTCCTTCTTCTCCTTCTTGTCTTTCTTTTCCTTCTTTTCCTTCTTTTCAGTCGGAGGGGCGGGTGCCGGCGCGGCAGCAGGGGCGTGTGCTGGCGCGGCAACTTTTTTGGGGGCATTTTTAACGACCTCCGGGGCAGGGGGCGCAGCAGCGGGTGGAGATGGCATAGGCGACGTCCGCGTAGGCGTTCCTAGTGGCGTATCGTTCGCGCCGGTAGCCGACGTGCGCACCGCGCCCCATCCACCCCCGCGCCCACCCCCGCGCCCCCCGCGGCCGCCGGTCGTCCAATTCCGCACCACGGGCTCCGGCGCCGCTGGGCGCGGCGGGTAGCTGCTTTTCGGGAGCGCTGACTTGGATGCTACATCAAACTAATTCCGTTGCGGGATGGTGCGGACGGAGGGACATACAGTTTTGGCGCCCTTGTACACGCTCTTTTCGTATTTCTCGGCCTCACTGATGCACTGCGTGTGGCCCTTGTATTCCGCGGGGCTGTTGAACGTCGTGGAGCAGTCGATGCAGTCGAAGCCCGCGTAGCAGCGGTTATAATGCTGGTCGAGCTTCGGCTTTTTTACCGTATCCTGGCAGGCATGGCATCTGGACGAAAATGTGAGATGCGAGTTGAATTCGTTGGAGAAACTGACTGGAATGAAACCATGAGGAATTTTAGTCGCTTAAAGCACACGAAGAAAAAGTTCGGGAAGACTTTTGGCGGTGTTTGCCGCAGAGGCTGTCACCTTCCCAAAACAACAGTCACCTTCACACAAAATTGCTCGCGGGAGAAGGGATGGTTCCGCTAACCGATATTCGAACCCAGAGGAAGTATATATAATACAAATATTGAGACAGTCCATTCCATCCTCAAGAGGAACCAAGCTTGACGACCCAGGTCTCGGGGCAATCCTCTGCGCCGGGCAACAGTCGCAGCTCTTGGAATTCCTCTATCTTGTCCAGCCCCTTGAAGATGGTCTGCCCCCCGAGCCAATCGATCCGCTTCAGCCTCGAATCGGCATCCGACTCGACGCGCTTCTTCGCGGCCTTCTCGATTGTGTCGCGCAACTTCTTGTCGCCGATAACGATTCCCCACTCCGAATCAGCAAGGTGCTGCTGCAGCTGGGACGGTTACATTATATGAGATGCTAAGGGTCAAGAAGTAGAGGAAACAACGAACAGCGGCATGGAGCGCATCCCAGATAGCCTCGCACGTTACAGGCGTGTTGGACACGACATCGATCGACCACGGGAACGACTTGGATATGAGGCGGACGTGCGATGACGAATTCGCAGTAGCGAACAGGTGTCGGTTCGGTAGGAACGTCGCCGGGGGGATCTCATGTCTTGCCTTCTTTCGGACATCATACTTGACTTGGGTCGTGTCCGACGCGAGGATCGGATTCAAGGTGGGGTACTTGGCCGAATGGTACACTGCGGAAGGAACGACACGTCAGGGAACATTAACTGGAGTGTACATTTCGCGTACCATTAGGGTTCGGAGGCGCCCAGCCTGGTTGGTTCCAATACCCCGGGAACCCTGGCGGCGGGGGTGCAAATGCATTCGGATGAGGCTGCTGATAGTATTGGGCGGGCTGCCACGGATTCCCCCAGTGGTTCATGGTGCGAGCGTTCAATCGATGTGGAGGTCGAGTTGCAAGTTAAGGGCGCCTGATCTAGGCGTAAATGACATCAACGTGGGAATGACTCAGACCTTAAATGCAGCGGGTGCACATCCTCTCTGCCACGAAAGCTGTTGCCCGCGGGCGCTTCCTGCGCAATCAGAAACTTGATTCAGTGTGCGTGCTGTGCAAACGCTGAGCGTCGGGATAAAAACGGAGCGGGTCGAATAATTTTAGTGGCTTCAAGAGCTGTCGCTGGCGCTAATCACGGATGATTTTCGGCGCCTCGACGGCGCTCACCAATCTTGCACATGAGTTCGGGCGGAGTGGCAGGACAGAAGGATTGCTTGATTGAAGAGGCACCTAGCATTCCGCAGCGCATGGAGTACGAAGAGCGGAGATTCGAAAGGGATCCGGTATTTATGTCTTCGTGGGCAAGAGACGTAGCTCGAACAACGAACCACCTGTCAAGAGAGTCTAGGTTAGCCTACTCGCTGAGGCGGCGTGAGGAAGGTACACAGCCGGAGCCATTCAATATTGGCGATGGTACCGGGACAGAGACAGAGCTGGGAGTGGCTCGTTCCCGGGAA